ATGTCACATGTTAATGTATTACAATAAGAATGTTTTTATTTTCTTTAAAAAATAGGTCCTATGCCTCTCTTATTAAATGTTTAAGATAAACAAGAGAAAAGGTTTTTGACAGCCGGGCGCAGTGGCTCACGCCTGTAATTCCAGCACTTTAGGAGGCTGAGGTGGGTGGATCACTTGAGGTCAGGAGTTTGAGACCAGCTTAGCCAACATAGTGAAACCCCGTCTCTATTAAAAATACAAAAACTAGCCGGGTGTGGTGGCACATGCCTGTAATCCCAGCTACTTGGGAGGCTGAGGTAGGAGAGTCGCTTGAACCCGGGAGGCGGAAGTTGCAGTGAGCGGAGATTGTGCCATTGCACTCTAGCCTGGGCGACAGAATGAGACTCCATCTCAAAAAAAAAAAAAAAAAAAAAAAAAGGATTTTTGACAATTATTTTAAAGCTAGCTCCCTCCTGCTGCTCTATGAAGAATGTATGGGAGAGTGGGTAATTGTTCATGGCTCTATCTTTCTATCTTGCCTTTTGCCACTAGGCAAGACAATAGGAAATAGCCCTCCTGGTATGTTTCTAGGGACCAGATTGTCAAATTAAATTTGGCCTAAAGCTGCCTCCATAAATAGCAAGCCACAACCTAACTTAGTATGTAAACAAACCGTAACCTAACTAAGAGTATATTCTTGTAACAAGTAGCTGGGTCTCTGCCAATCATAACAGGGGAGCTTTCAGCCAATCCCAGGCTGCAGACTGCCCAGCCAAGTCCAAATAAGGCAACCACCCAGCTGTAACCAATCAGGCTATTTCTGTATCACCTCCTTTTTCTGTCTGTAAGTATTGCCTGCCCACTTTTGCCTTGTGGAGGTCTCTGAACCTTTACTGGTTCAGGGTGCTGCCTGACTCATGAATACTTTCTTTGCTCAGATAAACTCTGCTAAATTTAACTAGCGTGAAGTTTTTCTTTTCATAAAATCCAAGAGAGTATTTAAAAATAACAGCAACAACCTAAACATTGTACAAAATACACTATGGGGGGCGGTTAGCATGGAGAGCCTGTGGTGTTAACCTGTATTCTTTATTTATTTATTCTTTAAAGCAGCCTCCTATATTTATCTAGAGCACTGTACAGTCAGCTCTCCATATCTGCATCCATGGATTCAATCAACCACAGATGAAAAATAATCCAAAAATTAAAAAATAAAAATATAACAATTAAAAAATACGAATAAAAAAATACAGTGTAAACAACTATTTACGTATCATTAACATTGTATTAGGTATTATAAGCAATTTGGAGAATATTTAAAGTATACAGGAAGATGTGTGTAGGTTATATGTATGTAGGCCAGGCATAGTGGCTTACACCTCTTTTTTTTTGAGATAGAGTCTCGCTGTGTCACCCAGGCTGGAGTGCAGTGGCATGATCTCGGCTCACCACAAGCTCTGCCTCCCAAGTTCATACCATTCTCCTGCCTCAGCCTCCTGAGTAGCTGGGACTACAGGCGCCCGCCACCACGCCTGGCTAATTTTTTTGTATTTTTAGTAGAGACAGGGTTTCACCGTGTTAGCCAGGATGGTCTCGATCTCCTGACCTCGTGATCTGCCTGCCTCGGCCTCCCAAAGTGTTGGGATTACAGGCGTGAGCCACCGCGCCCGGCCAGCTTACACCTCTTATCTCAGCACTTTGGGAGGCCAAGGCAAGAGGACAGCTTGAGGCCAGGAGTTTGAAACCAGCCTGGCCAATGTAGCAAGACCTAATCTCTATTTTGAAAAAGATAAAAGAAAAGAAAGGACTTGAATGTCCATGAATTTTGGTACCTGCAAGGGAGTCCTAGAACCAATCCCCTGCAGATACCAAGAGATGACTGTATAGAGAAAAGCCATTGAGCAAAGCCAGATGCAACATCAGTTCAAACTCTGCTAAGGCTCCAGAATGACAAGATTCCAATCTGGTCAAAGGTTTGGATGAGAGAGACAGCCCCGTGTTGACAGCAGGGCAATGAGCCAGTTCAGACAGCCCCAAGACTCGCCCTAGTCAATCCCAGGGAGAGAGAAGCCCTGCCCACTACAGGAACAGGGTTGCTGAAACAGCAACTAGGAAGCTGGTCTACACCAAGAACCTTGGGAATCAGGAAGGTCCAGGAAAAATAAGTATCTACAGGAGGTTCAGGGACGATTTGGACCTCACACCCAAGTGAAGAGGCTGGAAATCCCCAGGGGTGAAAGAACACTGCTTTCATCTACCCCTTCCGGAACAGGTCCCACTGTCACCCGTGCACACCCATATCTGAAGGACACTAGTGTCTGATCATCCCAAAACTGGAATTTCTCTCATTGTGGCCTAGCTGTTTCCCTGGATCTTTGGAAGTCAGATTTGTCTTATTCTGACAAGGTACAATCAAAGTTAACCAAGAGAAATTATACAGCACCGCTTAACCAAAGTGCCACAAAGAAGGTATACACAGGGAAGGGTGGGAGAGAAACAACACACAGGTGTGCACCAATAGCAGGCAAATTCACCTGGGGCCAATCCTAGTTTTACTCATTTATTTTAAAATGATTTTTCGAGACCCTGTCTCCTTAGTAGCTGGGACTACAGGTGCATGCCAGCTCCAATCCCAGTTTTAAACACTGATTATTCTCTTTCGAAGCAGATTCATCGAAGGTTTCCTTAAATAAACATTTTCATGAAGCATTTAAATACATTCATTTATGAAGTGTGTGTTGACTCATACCTTTTCAGGAACACGTACAAACATGTTTGACCACAGTCCTCTCACCTTCCTTGGAATGTCCCTCTCTTGGGCCTGTGATAGCGCTTTCCTGGTTGTATCCCTTCATCCCTTTTTCTATTTCTCTGTCCCCTTTCTCCTCCTTCATCAATAGAGGCATTCACTAAGAGAGCTTCTTTGTGGACTTCCGATCTCTTCATTCTTTCTCCTTGAATAACCATCACTCACTTCGTTCACTTGTCACCTCTGCTGCTGATAATAATAGCTGGCAACTATAGGTGCTCTCTGTGTGTCAAGCACGGTACTAAACTCTCAAGTTTAATCCTCCCAACAGTCCTATGGAGTAGGCACTGTTATTATCCGCATTTTTATGTACGGAAAAACTGAGGCTTGGGGGTGGAAGCAGGCTGCCCAGGGTCACCTAGCTAGTAAGGGGCAGAACTGGATTCAAACCCGGGCAGCCCACCTCAGGGGCTTCACACTGTTAGGTGAGCTCTCAAAACTGGACATCCTTCCCAAGGTGCGCGGCCATCTCCACCAGCCCCTCAAACCCGGCGTTGTCACCCACCAGACATCAGAGAGTCCTCACTGACATGTTTTACTGGCTGTGAAGATATTAAAATACTACAAACTCTGCAGCCTGGAACCCTGTCTTCACCCTGTCACCCTCTCCACTAAGACCTCCCCATATCCAGCATCCCTGGCATGGGGCTGAGAGGTGGAGGCTGGTGGGAAGGGGCTTAGCACCCTCCTGGCCTTGGTCTTGCCAGTGCTACAACTATGGCTAAATACTGAGGATTGTGTTGTTTGGTTGGGTTGGTTTGTTTGTTTGTTTTTGAGACAAGGTTTCACTCTGTCATCCAGGCTGGGGTGCAGTGATGTGATCATAGCTCACTGGAACCTCAAACTCCTGGCCTCAAGCAATCCTCTTGCCTCAGCCTCCCAAGTAGCTGTATCTACAGGCACGCACCACCATGCACAGCTAATTTTTAAGATTTTTTTTGTAGAGACGGAGTCTGGTTATATTGTCCAGGGTGGTCTCAAACTCCTGGCCTCAAGCAAATCCTCCTACCTCGGCCTCCCAAAGTGCTGGGATTACAGGCATGAGCCACTGTGCCTGAACTACATACTATTAGTATCACGTCTGCCTCCTTCTCCTTCTGTCTCCACAAACCAGTTCCTCTGCTGACTTCCTTATTTCTGGGGCCCACATCTCATTCCCCAGATTGCATTATACACAGCCTTTTTCCCACAGTGCCTGCCATGGGACTCCACCGTCCTCCATTCTACCTGAAAAACTCGCAGGCCTCTTGTGAGAGCCAGCTGTGGTGCCCTTGGTTCCTCTGTGAGGCTGCCACCACCCTGCACCCTAGGGTGAGCAGTGCCCCAGGAGGACCTCACAAACTCCAGTGAACGTACTCACAGGCAGAGTCTAAACTGTGTCCCTGAGGTCCCCAGGCAGGTTTCTCTACCCTGCAGCCCACGTAGGGTAAAGGGACCATCTAGGCAGCTGTGAAGCTACCTGGGTGGGAGGCAAGCAGGAGCCTAGGTAAGGAGTCAGGGCCCCTTGGCAGCTGCGGGCAATTTTGAGGTGTGCGGCCTCCTGCTTTTGTCTTAAAGGGATGAGGACAGCTCCTCTGAATAAGGGGGCATGGACCTTGAGGGGCACCTGGGGAGTGAGAGGACAGAGGCAAGAGGACTGGACAGAGGTGGGGGACAGGCAGACCTGCTTCCTCCAGACTGGGCTGGCCCTACCGGGCTGGGGTACCCCCTCCAGCTCATAGGGTCTCCCACACCATCAGCCCACTGTGGGACCTGGAACGGATGGCCTGGGCCAATGGCTTGGGGAGGGAACTCAGGAAACAGGGCTGTCGGACAGGGCAAGCTCCAGCAAAGGGAAGCCCTCTACGCTGTACGTTTCCTGAAAAAGAAGATCCCGGGGGGCAGCTACTGCTGTCAACCCGGCAAAGCTCACAAGCCCCCACACCAGATCCCCAAATCCTCTCATGGCTCAGCTCCAGGGGCCCGCAGAGACTGTCCCTGGACAGGTCTCGCCTCCCTAAGGGTCTCTGCTTCGCTTGTGAGAGGAGGGGTTGATATCCTGACTCTAAGGTGTCTCGGCTCTCTGCGTCCTCAGGAGCACGTGCTGCTGGGGGCGCGGGCAGCAGAGGGTGGGCCCTGGAGTCCGAGCTCCCGGGACTCGCGGGCATGCGCGCTGGCCTCCCGCCCGGGCCGGCCCCGAGCCCCGCGATCCGCTGTCGGCCCCGCAACTTACCCAAAAGTTTCCCTTGAACAGCGAGCGCGTCATCGCGGCGAGAGTAGGGGCGCAGAGGAGAGCCGGGCCGCAGGTGGCACCGCGTGGGGAGGCCTGACTGCCACTGCCCGCTGCCCCGCAGGCTCAACTTCGGCGTTCCACACTCGCGCAGGGAAGCCGCCCCCGGGTCCTAAACCACTCCCGATTGCGATAGCCGCCGTCTGCGCTCTGCGCTCCCCGCGCGGGACCTGGGCGGGACCCGGGGCGCTCACCCGGCCAGGGGCTGCAGCCAGCGCCGGGACCCAGGCCCATTTAAAGCCCCACAGCGTCAGGCGACGATCAATATATCAGCCCGAAGCTAGCTGCCTCCTCCTGGAAGCCTTTGAGGATTGGAAATAACTGGTCCTGGCTTGGGCTCCTGCCCACAAGACCCCCTGGACCGAATGAAATCCAGGCTCTGCGGGGTGATAGAAGGGATCTGATCAGATGGTGGTCGCGAGGACCCGGTGTAAGCTCCAGAAGGCCTGGGAGCCCACAACGCCCGCAGTTGCTAAAGGTGTAGACGCCTTGGCGTCACGGCGGGTCATGGCGGGCCCCACCGGCACCTGCTGCAGATCTTGCCCTGGGGCACGTTTCATTTTTTATTTTACTTTTTGATGTTGCAGGTGTTTTTAATGAATGGGGTCACGTTTTAGTCTAAAATGTCACGGAGAGGTCATCGCTGCTGTTTCCCCTTGACTCTAGTTACTTTGTGGTGTCCTAACAGGACCTCCAGGAGCTTAGCTGCTCTCTGACTCCCTTTCCATTTCAGGAGGCAAGACCCTTCCCTGCCCATTCCACCCCAGCAAGAGGGGCCCAAGGTTCCTTCTTCTCCCTCCACTCTTCCACCCTCACAAATAAAACCCCTCTCTGCGTTGTATTAGATTGGTACAAAAGTAATTGCGGTTTTTGTCATTACTTTTAATAGTAATGCAGGGCTTATGACAAAGTACTCCCTGGTATGACAGGCCCCAAGCCCAACCTGAGGCCCAGAGGGGTTGAATGACTTGCCCAAGATCACAGTTTATTTAAGGGATGAAGAGCTCAAAGTTAGAGCTCTGCCCTTCTAAACAGAGGCAAAGACAGACATCCTTCCTGGGGCAGATCCATCCTGGACAGAGGAACAGGTGCTCAAGGAGGGGAGGATAAAGGTCAAGGTTGCCAAGACTGGCACCAGCCCAGCCTGGAGAAGCAAGCGTTCACCCCTGGAGCAGGTTCTAGTTATGCCCAGACACAGTGAAAGGGCAATTGCTAGAGTGATGTGAAGCACCTCGAACAAGGTCTGCTCCATAATACTGCCGCCAGCGCCACTCAGATGAACTCCCAATAAAGTCATCCACAACTGCAAAGACGGAGAGGTGGCTTCCAGCCACCAAGCACCTCCAAGGGATGCATTCATTTACCTACTTGCTCATATCTTTTGAAAGCAGTGAGGTTAGAAGGAAGGCAGAGAAGCCTGGCAGAACCATCAAGGGGCAGCAGAGGACATGGTAGGCAGTAGGAATCTTGGCTTAACTGCAGGGGTAAGAAATGGCACTAACTGGGGACACAGAAGCGGGAGAGTTGGAGACACCACTAAAGTTTTTCCTAGAAGTTTTAAATATTCTGGAAAATAGTTTAGATGCAATTCTAATTGTCACATTTTCATGTTTAATACATGTATAATTGTTAAGTTATTAGAACGTTTCACAAGCTCTCACACTTGATTTTCGCAACTCAGACCCTAAGCTCCCTGAATTTTAACTCGCTTCCGCCATCTGGTGACAAAGTTTGTAATTGTAAATGGTCATCCTCGCTGCTGGAAAATATTCTTCATTCCTCAAACATTTAAGTTCATCTCTGGGGCAGGTATTGTGAGTAAAAAGACAAAGTATGTGCTATATCCAAGGGGTATATTTAGGATATTTTACTAACTTCTATGGTTTGAATGTTGCCCCCTCCAAGACTTCTTGTTGAAACTTAATCTGAAATGAGACAGTTTTGAGAGAGGTAGGGTCTTTAAGAGGCGATTGGGTCACGAGGGCCACTAGTCCCATTCATGGATTAATGGGTTAGTAGATTAATGAATTATCAGGGGATGAAACCAGTAGCTTTATACTTTACAAGAAGAGGAATAGATGGTTGGGTGCAGTGGCTCATGCCTGTAATCCCCGCACTTTGGGAGGCTGAGGCAGGTGGATCACCTGAGGTCAGGAGTTCAAGACCAGGCAGGCCAACATGAACCCCATCTCTATTAAAAATACAAAATGAGCTGGGTGTGGTGGCACATGCCTGTAGTCCCAGCTACTTGGGAGGCTGAGACAGGAGAATCACTTGAACCCAGGAGGCGTAGGCTGCAGTGAGCCAAGACCGTGCTACTGCACTCCAGCCTGGGTGAGACAGAGTGAGACATCATCTAAAAAAAAAAAAAAAACGAAGAAGAAGAAAAAGAAGAGGAAGAGAGGCCTGAGCTAGCATGATCAACCCCCTTGCCATGTTATGCCCTGTGCCACAGAGTCCCCACCAGCAAGAAGGCCCGCACAAATGCAGCTCCTCAACCTTGGACTTTTCAGCCTTCATAACTGTAAGAAACAAATTCTTTTCCTTTATAAACTACCCAATGTCAGATACTCTGTTATAAGCAACAGAAAACATATTAAGACATTAACAAAGTTAAACAATATTATTATAGCAATTATGAAAATATTTAATACATTTAAGACAAATCATACATTTAAGATAATCACTGTGAGTATTTTGGCATAATCTCTTTCAACAATATATATTTGCATGAGTAAGTTCTTATTGTATATAAAATGTTGAGTCTAGCTTTTTTAACTTAATATTTCATAAGTATTTTCTAAAATCACTAAATATATTTTTTCTAACAAAAAGTTTGATAGAACATAGGGCTGGCCACTTTATAAGCAGAAAATCTTGCATGTAAAAATTGAAAATCTCTGTGAAGGGCTGGGTGGGGTGGCTCACACCTGTAATCCCAGCACTTTGGGAGGCCGAGGCGGGCAGATCACTTGAGGTCAGGAGTTCAAGACCAGCCTGGCCAACATGGTGAAACCGTGTCTCTACAAAAAATACAAAACTTAGCCGGGCAGAGGTGGCACAGCACCTGTAATCCCCCCCTACTCGGGAGACTGAGCCAGGAGAATCGCTTGAGCCTGGGAGGTAGAGGTGCAGTGAGCCAAGTTTGCACCACTGCACTTCAACCCGGGTGACAGAGCGAGACTCCATCTCAAAATAAAATAAAATAAAAATCTCAGTGAAGAGAAATTTGGCCATGTGATCAAAATGTAAAATGCCCCTACCTTTTGACCCAATAAGTCCATGTCAAAAAACCTACCATTCAAGTATATTCTTACATATGCAAAGTAAAATATGATACAGTTATTCATAGCAGTGTGGTTATTTTGGAAAAATATACTTGAAATAATTAATGTCCATCCATGGATTACTAGCTCAATATATTGTCATATATCGATCCAATGAAGTCATATTCAAACATAAAAAATGAGGAAGCTCTTTGCATATTGATATGGAACAATCATCAGATATATTAATAAGTAAAAAACAAAAGGCAAAACAAGCTATCACTAGAGTGAGAAGAAAAAAGAACACACACACACATTCAATGGTTCCCTCTGAAGTGGGGGTCTGGGGCCTGAGAGATAGGAGAAAGAGAGCAGAAGAGAGCCCTACTTTTCATCCCGTGCCCTTCTGGACCTTAGAATTTATACTCTGTGAGTTTATTATAAACCCAAAGAAAACTCATCAATATCATTTTTAATTTTTGCATAACTTCCCATCAAGCGGATATACCAATATGTACTTAGCATTTCCCTAATGCTTTTGGAAATATTACTGTGATAAATATCTTTTATATAAATCATTGTTAAAATTACTCACAGTGGAGGCCAGGTGCAGTGGCTCATGCCTATAATCCCAGCATTTTGGGAGGCTGAGGTGGGTGGATCATTTGAGGTCAGGAGTTCAAGACCAGCCTGGCCAACATGGTGAAACCCTGCCTCTCCTAAAAATACAAAAATTAGCTAGGTGTGGTGGTGGGCGCCTGTAATCCCAGCTACTTGGGAGTCTGAGGCAGGAGAATCACTTGAACCTGGGAGGCGGAGGTTGCAGCGAGCTGAGATCACGCCACTGCACTGCAGCCTGGGTGACAGAGTGAGACTACATCTCAAAAAAAAAAAAAAAAAAAAGAAAAAAAGAAAATTACTCATAGTGGAATTACAGGTTAAAGAATATAAATATTTTTAAGGTTCTTGAAATATATTACCAAATAGTTTTCCACAAAAGTTGTTTCAGTCTATACTCTCAGTAGTGTACAATGGTGTCCCTGCCTTTCCAGAAACATTGGATAACATCATTCATAATCCTTGTTATATGATCATGGAAACATTCTAGTGCTGTAAATTTGCATGATTTTTATCACTACTTGAGCAGGTTTTTCATACGCATGATTTTCAGGCTATGCCATCTTTTGGGAATCGTCCTTGTCCTTTGTCCATTTATCTCTAGAGGTTTTGTTAGTTTTCTTTTTTTTTTTCTTTTTTAAAGCCAATCAAATTTAGTAGTGGGGGACTGTACATCAACTTTAGTGACAATAATATTAATAAGTTCTGATAATCCACTACCATTGGACCAGTCAAAAGTTGTGTAGCTTTTTTTTTTTTAACTAATTTGCCATTTGTGTTGCAAACATGTCTTGCTCTGTATTTCACGGCCTAGCACGCTATCTAGCACATCATAGGTGCTCAATAAACATTGATTTAACTGAATTAAATTAATTTGTATTTAATTAGATTTTACGGGGCCCAGTTTTCATGTTTATACAACCCTATGTATTGACGTCCTCTGTCATTTTTTCCATTGCTTCTTTTGTTTAAAATCCCTTCCCCATCCAGGATCAGTGCAACACAGATGTGACTTGGAAGAACCTCGGAGCAGTCCAACCTATCTCATAGTTACAAGGACTTGCTGACTTCAAAAAGTAAGAAATCATCCCACCCAACCTGTACGCATTACCTACCGCTGCAAAATACATTACTTCAGAAATTGCAGCTTAAAACAAGAAACATTTATTATTGCCCACAGTTTCTCAGGGCTAGGGATTTTACAACTGTGTGAGTCTGGC